CGCCGCGGGCTGCGCAAACAGCCACCCGCGCCCCGTCCCCCCGCCGCCATCCCGTCCTTGACTTCCCCCTGGACCCCCCGCTACACCCTCAACGAGGATGGCGATAGAACGGCAGTTTTCTGACGCAGCCCCCGCCTTCCTGGGCTGGCTCGGGCCACCACCCCCTAGGGGGGCTGCGTTCGGAAGCGCCACTCGTCCGCCCCGCACCGGAGCGAGCTCCGGAACTTGTTCCATGCCGTTGTTGTAGGGGAGTGAGATAAGCGCGATTCGATCGCGAACGTACCCCTCTCGGACGAACAAGCGCCGGCCCGACCCGAATGCGGTTCGGCCCCCGCTCGCCGAGAGGAGGGTACGCTCGCTACCCGACAGGAGGGGTGTGGAACAGTGTCTTGCAGTTCCGTATGATTGGGGAGTTGGCCTCTGGATCCAACTGAGGGGAACACTCCTCATGCAAGGTTGTCTCCTGCCTCCTGCCATACACCGCCTTGAGGCATGTCCCGAATAAATGAGGAAAAGAGCGTTGTCTCAACTGATAAACTAGATTTTAATTCATACTTTCACTATGATACACAGTACCAAAATGTCATAACCCTAATCATGGTCTATCTTATGACTGACCTATGAGCTAGTACAGGGTCAATAGTTGACAAGGAGAGGTTTTAAGAGACAAGAAGATTTACAACTATCACAATTCCCTTGAGCTACCTCTATGTCAAATCAGGTATACAATGTATGATGATGCTGACAAGCATTATCTTCACAGGATAATACCAGTCTTATAAAAAAGATGCCACAGGGATAAGTTCACAGCACACAAATTTCACACATCGCCAGAATAAGAAATTAATGAAAATAAAAATGTCCAACACCCAAGAAGATGACAGAGCATTGCAATAAGCACAATTAAAAGATGCCTGCTATCCCACAACACAGCAAAAAAGGGGGAGCTTGTAGATGACTATTTTCCTAAATAGAAACAAAGATAGCTTCTTTAAAAAAGCTTGTTTTCTGGTTCAGAAGAATGTGAATAAAATACCTAAATAGATTGATTTATGCATAAAACTGTCTATACTTCTTAGGTAAGCGATGAAGTTAAATCTTCAAGGTCACACTTCTTCTTGACTAATGTCCAATTTGAAACTGAATACCATAAATACAATCTACAAGAATATGCTGCATGCATGCAGCAGGCATAATACTGGTCATCTTCATTGAAACAAAACAATAAATATAATAAGAGCGTTGTGACATTCTAAAATAGTTAAAAAATGGTTTGGCTGTTCAATAATTATTTGAAGCAGCCTTTAAATTCTGAACACCCACACATCACTTCAGTATTTGTAAGTCTGGCTTATCACAAAATGATGTTTCCTTTCATTTGAAAGAAAAAATCCATAAGTATTACAAGGCAATTCAAGTAGGCAAACAAGTGTTAAAAGGCCAAAGCACTTTTTGGTTTCTCTAATCTTCATTAAATTATAACAGAGCTGATTAAGCACAACAATGACAGGTGGAGAAATACCTAAATAGAAACAAGAATCAATAATCGCAAATTAGACCTCATTGCATATTATCAAGAGTAGATGACAACTGGTGCCACAAAATGCATTTATCAGATTAGGAAAATGTCTATAAAGAAAACAAGGATGGAATGCTATGCAATGAACGGTAGGCAACATCACAATTAATGGTAATTTTCCACCTGGCTTAATATGTACAAAAATTATCACCTGTATTACCACAAAAAAGACAATAACCCGTTTTAGATATAATAATAAGTTACTACTTGGTCATTTCAGTAATACAGAAAAAGTTTCAAACTTTTGAGACAGAGACATAAAAGATCAGCATAAAAGTGCCCCAAAGAGTAAATGTACAATCTGGTCACCAGGAGCCAGAGAGTAATTTTTCTATGAAACACAAGAATTTATTCATCATCATCATCATCATCATCATCATCACCACCATTTTGATCCTTAAGATTGTTACGAATTTGATACCTCTGATTACGATCACCATGGGAATTTACATTACCCTTGTCAGCTAACAATCTTGAATGGTTCCCCATCACTGCGTTGGAGGGTCTGGCGCTCTGTACTTCTTGGTTGACTTTGCCTGTGAGGAAAAATTAGAATTATAAAGCTGTTCTCTAATGAAATTGAAATAATTGTTAACAAAATAAAAAGTTAAGCTGCCAAGATGATTTTGATGAACATTTTTTAGATCACACAACAAACAAGCATTTGTATTTGTAGTAGAAATGAAATTTATAATGGAGGGCCAAGTGAGGAAGAAATGATTGTAAGGTAACTTGAAATAGTTTAAGCAGCATGTTCTACTTTGTTTTGTTTTTTTAAATGTAGTTAGTAAACAAATACACACGAGCAATGTTTAGTTTTCCTGCCTTCTGTTTAGGAATGGCTCCAGTAGCTGATGTTGGTCTTGAATCACTATCATCACTCCATTCGCTAGCCCTGGAAATCAAATTGATTTTGTAGAAGCTTTTCTTTGTCTTATTGAAGAATTACATTGTAATGTAGTACTTACACTGTAAAGTTGCCTCGTAAATCATTATAAGAATTTGAAATGTTACTCTTACCGCGAGCACCTGTAAATTTATAAATGTATAGATAATTGTAGCTGTTTATATAACAACCATATTTTCTGTCAGGACATTGGTTTAAACTCTGACTTAAGAGGCTAATCAACAGAGCAAAAGAAATGAGAGGGTAGTATGAGCAAGCACCTGAATCATTTGCAGATGACTTTGATTGGGGGGATAATTGTACAATCGGCATGATAGAATGCTCTGGTACTGACGGATGTCTTCCAGTATGTAAATGATTACATTCAGTTTCAGTGAAAGAGCATTCACACTTCCCATAGCTTTTGAAGGTAATAGAATCGAGTTTAGGGGTGCTGCTCAGTGGTTTTGATCTGTAAAATGAGCTTAGGGACAGTAATTCTTGATTCATTCTGGGATTTTGACCGGTAAAAGTTTTTCCAGTTATAACGTAATTAGATGTCTGAATTTCATCCCTCTGTGTCCTCTTTACAGAAAAGTTTTCCTTAGTACAGTCTTCAGTTGCAGGTTTTCTTTGAGTTATGGTCTGGTTAGGGGAGGTAGAACGAGAACAATAGGTGGGACGACTAATGGAGGCATGTTGTTTCACAACACCAGGAATTTGAAGGGGTGTCGTCTTTCTCCTCAGGTGATCCACATCTAAAATTGGAACACCTTTAAAAGGGTACTATCAAAAGACCTTTAATTCACTAGAAAACATTCCAGTGGTAATTAAACAACAAAATTAATAGAGCAATTATGCAGTAATTTTTAAAGGATACCTTGTGCACTGGCATTAATGGTACGGGATGGAAGGGGCTTACAATTTGTTTTTGGTGTAGTATTCTTAATTTGACAGCTTAAAACTACTGAAGATGCTTACCATTGCTCTGTTGCTCGGCATCAACAAAAGTATTATAATCAGATTCATCAAATTTCCGTGATCTATGGTGCATTTGAGATTCCTGTGGCTTTTTAACAGACACACCATCCTAAAGGAGGAAAGAATTAAGTTAGATAGTTTAAAAGAATTATGTAAATGCAAAATTTTAAACAAATAACTCCTATTAGCAGAAATAAACAAATTACTTTATTTTCTGGCCACACCTCTTGAACTTCTCGAAAACTCTTGGGGTGATATTCACAAACATCCTGGATAGAGAGAAAATGCAGAAAATTTAGTATACTAAAATTTATCTAATTTCAGATAAGTTAATGTTAGGGTTTCAGCTAGGTGGCAGGATTAACCAAGGCTCAGCAAGTTTGGTCCAATTGAACCATTAGTTGAACCTCAAATTGCGCAGAATTCAGATTGTGAACAGTTCTCTTTTACACTCTTTGTTTTTCTTTCATAGTATTTTTTTCCCCGTCACCAATAGTGGAGGAATGGCATATTTTAATTTTCTCAGAATATGTGCTAGATGGAGTGGCATTTGCTGTTGTTGCCCTTGCACTTGTTACTTTGATAAATACAACAGGAAATAACACCCCAATAAATCTTGCAAACAAAAAGAAAAATGTATCACTTTTATAAATAAACATAAGAAAGAAACCATTCTTTTTCTTTTTTTCAAACCCTTCAATCTCTCAATGTCAGCTTACTGAACCTAGCTAGGAAAGAAAGTGGCTAGCCCTAGGATTGGTCTGGTCTATCATAGGTTCAGGCACCTTATCCTAGGTTTAACCGTCCACCTAACTCTGACCATAACAAATGTGTGTCTAGATTTCACATCAAATCTCTTTAGTTTAAATAAAACAAATACGTACTTGATGCTCTAGCAGAAGACTTGGGGGGTAGCCATCTCCACAAAATTCACAGGGTAGGAGATAAATACCTTCTTCTTCCAGATCCTCTCTCAATGCTGCCTCACTTCCTTCATCAACACCCGTTTTTCGATCAGCAACACTGTGATTTCTTCGCCTGTCAGTATTCCCCTCATCAATTGCATTTCTCCGAGTGTCAGTAAATGCTCCAATTTGACGTACACGTTGTTTCGGGATTTCGTCAGGGACTTGGCTTCCAAGATTTAGATCTCCCTCATCACCTTCATTATCACTATCATTGGTCACTAAACCAGAATAATGTTTCTTACTACTTTCATTGTGACTCTTTTTGCCTCTTCCAAAACTAGTTAAGTCCATTCTGCAAGCAGTCTGCAAAGTAAGACCAATACCAATTGCTGTTTGAGTGAACATAAATACAAATTTGACATGACTTAAGGTAATTTTCAGGGATGACATACTTGATGAAGAATCAATTGATTAACAGGTATCATAGCCTCACAAAATTCACAAGGCAGAGCTACCAAATCTGTAGAATCTTCCATAACTTCTTGATATGGTGGAGGAGACCTGGAGATTGTTCTCTGAGGCCGATCAGAGATTGGATATGCCACACCTGGATAGGCAGCAGGTGCAATTACTTTTTTCTTCTTCATGAGGTTTGCAAACAAGCTATGCATGTCATCTACTTCATCTTCATCTGATAAAAAAAGGTAAAAATTAAAAAAAAAATATGTAAAAAGCCAGGTTTAAAAAAAAAAATGATTCAGGTAAATAATGAGAGTATGCTTACCGCCAATATCAAACTTCCCGGTATATAGTTGAGGTTTTTGATTGTTATTTGATTTAGCTGGTCTCGAGCTACCACTCTCAAGGTCATTTTTTATCCAAGTTGCAATTGGACCTGGTTCTTTAGATTATGAAGATATAGATAAGATATATAGATTTTGACAACCACTTCAAAATAATATATATATATATATGGAGATAAAGCAACCCACCATCATCTAATTTCAAAAATCCATGATTGGAATCAATGTGCAATTGTTCATATTTGAGCATCACATATTCTCCACAGTCTTCACATTTCTTTGTGCGACTACCACAGTAATTTTCATGATCATACATTTCACTTGCAGGTAGCTCAAGTTCACAGAATGGACAGTGCTGTTGACGTGAGATACAGGCTGTTTTCTGTAGATATAAAAGGAGTAGAAACACAGGGGGGTGTAAAGTGCAAGACGTGTGGTCTTGTTACAAGTATAGTGTCCAGGGTAAAAACAATTTCCCACCTTATGAGCTTCTAGTTGCGGTCTTTCAACAGCCATGTGACAATCAGGGCAATTCACTTTAGCATGGAACTCTGATTCATGTTCATCCATTGCGGAGCGAGGAACAGCTTCACCACATTTCTCACATTTTGTTAGATTGCGTTGACAGTGAAGACTGTGAATGACAAAGTTGCTAGCTGCAATTGGCCGTTGGCTGAAAAAAAAGGAAAAATATGGCCAGTTAACAAATAATCTTAGAATTGGAAAGATAAAGGATCTGAGAATTCGTAATTAATTCAAAATAAGAGAGATAAGGGCAGGGGGAATAGCCCTAAGAATAAAAAGGTTGGATGATATGCTTATGGTGAACAAACCATATTAAACATTATATCCTGACAATTCAAATTCCTACGGGTAGATTTAAGTAACAACTTCTTCCTTTCTTTATTAATCAAATTAGGTTTAGAAATTAAACGGCTTAACCTAAAGATTAGAATTATTGCTGTCAAGATTACCAATTACTGCAGAGAGATGTACTTTCTTCCATGGTTGTCAATCCCTAGAAACTAGACAGATGGTGAGGGCCACTCTGAATAACGCGAAAGAATGTCAAATTGTAGATATGTGCACAATGTTCTTTAAATCACAGACGAATTACACGACAATTCTCAAGATTTCTTCAGCACCCAACACCTAACGATCACATTCACCGAGTTTCCCCAAGAAACAATTGGCATGCAGAAGAAAAAGAAGAAAAAAAAGACGTGCCTTTACGAAAAATTTGTTGATGAAAATAAGTACAGTCGCGTAGCATCTCAAAAGTATGCGATGATGTCTAAAAATAACTGTTCCAGCATGGAGTCTGGACTTATTTTCAGTTGTTAACTAGGGCAATACGCCATAATCGAGAAAAAAGCAACACTGTCATGAAAAAAACTAATTGTTCACAAAGACCAGTTCCTGACCGATATTGGAATTCTTAGCATGGAACACCCCCAAGTGGGTGGAAGCTAGATCTGCAAATGGCGACAACCGTCGTGTACTCGGATTAGAAGAGAGGTTCGAAGGATCTTTTGGCAGTGTTGGTGAATTTGTTCATCACACTAAAGTTGCACTATTTTGTCGAGTGAGTGCCACTTTTTCTCGTCTAGTTACGGAATGAAAAATCCCCGTCCTCGCTTAGAAATTGACTGGCAAAAATCATTCAAGGGGGAGGAACTCCGTGAAGATTCAGCGCCAAGTTGTTCATTCATTCAATGTATCCCAATGAATTGACTCTCGCCCAATAGTCTGTCGTTGACGTGCCGTGCCAGCTAACTTCCATTCTTGGCCAGCCGGTGGGATATGTCATCTTTTCTTCGAACTCGTCCCCGTGGCGGCTGCTGTAAATTTGTCAACGTATGATCATTTCATGTATGTCGTGCATTTGACCGGGACAAGCGGCTGTCAAGCAGACTCAATTTGAAGTGTGTGTCAACTCTCAAGATTAATTAAGGACCTCTCTGTCTTTTAAGACGAAGCGTGTCGTCATTTCATCTCTAAATCGGTCGGCAATGTTGCCTAAGGTTCTGTCAAAGTGATCCTGTTGCGTTGATCATTCTTTTCAAATACTCGTTCCCGGCGAATTAACATCTTGTACGCCCATTCTGGGTGTATTTTGCCTCCATCCTAGATAAGTTCATGCCGTTTCTTCTTATCGAAGAGGCCCGTATTAAATTTTTACGATATTTAATCATGTGTCAAACGTCATCTGAAACCCTTTCTAACCTCAATCTGTCAGAATGAAAAAAAATCAATACATCTGGTTAATCAGATTTATCCCTGTTAGTTTTAAACTTTTTATGTTATAAAACTATTTTGCCAGTGAGTTTTCTTACAAGAGAAGATATTTGCATGCAGTTCTCAATGTTTGTCTTTTCGATGATACTTAAGTATAATGAACTCAATTTATTAATTTTGTGTTATTTGATCAACAACCTAACATCTTGCTTAGTTACTGGTGTTTTTAATCCTTGTTACAAAGTAATAACTATCAAACTCTTTTTGAAAATTTCTAATTCTTGAATATGTGTGAGGCAATTATTTTATTTTTTAGAACACTTGTGTGGATTGTTATTTGCTATTCAACTGAAATTTAAATATTGACTTTGTTTTTTATTAACAATCATCTCTGCTCCACAAACTGTGGTAAAGTGGGTGTATTCTGGTTTATTTTAAGTCGCAATACTAGCTTGACCTAAGTGTGTCCTTCATTTGGCAGTGAATGATGAACTTCTAGTTTGGCTCAAAGTTGCCCAATCTTTATGGTGCTATCAATATTTTTTTCCCATGCTCATGTTTTTGCACTATGTGCTCCTAAAGTTTGTTTGAGGGTTGATTGAGTTTACACCCACTGTAGATATCTTTAATAATTTTGTCTGCAAGACTGACCAGCTTATTTGAATCTATCATCTCTTTTACAGCCCCAAATAAAGTGCAACCATGCCTGCAGTCCGGGGCGATGGAATGCGCGGCTTGTCTGTGTTTATATCAGACATTCGAAACTGTAAGTAACCATTTATTAAAGCAAATTACTTGCTATGAACTGTCAGTTTCAATTATTGGTCTCTAAAAACTATTCCTCATTTGTAGGTAAAAGCAAGGAATCAGAAATCAAGAGAATAAATAAAGAATTAGCAAATATAAGAAGCAAGTTTAAAGGCGATAGAACATTAGATGGTTATCAAAAGAAGAAGTATGTTTGCAAGCTCCTCTTTATTTTCCTGCTTGGACATGACATTGACTTTGGACATATGGAGGCAGTCAATCTGTTATCATCCAATAAGTACTCTGAGAAGCAAATTGTAAGTAATTAGACCAGAATTCAGTCACAAAATATTCTTTAAAAATTTCTTTCCAATTTTTGCAACATATTTCTTTATTTTTAGGGTTATTTGTTTATATCGGTGTTGGTCAACACCAATAGTGATTTAATCAAACTAATTATTCAAAGCATCAAAAATGATCTGCAATCTCGCAACCCTATCCATTTGAACCTAGCTATGCAGTGCATTGCTAACATTGGTAGCAAAGAAATGGCAGAAGCCTTTGGTTATGATATCCCCAAGCTGCTTGTATCTGGGTGAGTAATCAATAATTGTAATAAATACAAGACCAATTGTTTTTGTACCCTGCCAACTTACTTTGCGTTTCCTTACAGGGACACTATGGATGTTGTGAAGCAGTCAGCTGCACTTTGCCTGTTGCGACTATTTCGCACTTCTCAAGAAATGATACCTAGTGGAGAATGGACATCGCGCATCATCCATCTACTGAATGATCAGCATATGGGTGTGGTGACTGCTGCCACTTCTCTTATTGATGCCCTTGTGAAGAAGAATCCAGAAGAGTACAAAGGCTGCATTAGTCTTGCTGTTTCTAGACTTAGTCGAGTAGGTTTATCAGGACCAATTTCCTGTTTTTTAAATAGTTGTTGAAATCTGTTCTCTATTAATAGTGTGATTCCAACCTATTCCATTCTTCAGATTGTAACTGCCAGTTATACAGATCTTCAAGATTACACTTATTACTTTGTTCCTGCTCCATGGCTTTCTGTCAAGCTGTTGAGACTGTTGCAAAATTACTCACCACCAGGTAAAGTGCTGTAATTTAATTGTATTACTTGCATAAGTTCCTTCATTGAACTTAAAACTCATTTTTTAATTGTTTTAGATGATCCTGGTGTTCGTGGCAGACTGAATGAATGCCTTGAAACTATCCTAAATAAGGCTCAAGAAGCACCAAAATCAAAGAAAGTTCAGCATTCCAATGCCAAAAATGCTGTTCTCTTTGAGGCTATAAGTTTGATCATTCATAATGACAGGCAAGTAATTTTTCAACAAATGAAACTGGGTTTACTATTCATCAGAGGTATATTATAACTGTCTTTTAATTTTCAGTGAGCCAAATCTTCTTGTGCGGGCGTGCAACCAACTTGGGCAGTTCCTGTCCAATCGTGAAACAAATTTGAGATATCTTGCTTTGGAATCAATGTGTTTACTTGCCACTTCCGAATTCTCCCATGAGGCTGTGAAGAAACATCAAGAAGTTGTCATCCTTTCAATGAAGGTTCTGTCATGCTTTGTTAATTTTTATCATGAGTGGTTTCAAAATGCTGGTGATGACTAAAGAAAAGTATCTTTCCTATGTTCTCAGATGGAGAAAGATGTTTCTGTTCGTCAGCAAGCCGTTGATCTCCTTTATGCCATGTGTGATAAGACCAATGCTGAAGAAATTGTTCAAGAAATGCTGAACTACCTGGAAACTGCGGACTATTCTATAAGAGAGGAAATGGTATGTTATTGCTATCTTCTGAGGACCTTTCAATATTGTTTGCCAATGTAACATTTTTGCTACTTTCTTACAGGTCTTAAAAGTGGCTATCCTTGCTGAAAAGTATGCCACTGATTACACTTGGTATGTAGATGTTATTCTTAATTTGATCAGAATAGCTGGAGACTATGTTTCAGAAGAAGTGTGGTATCGAGTCATTCAGATTGTCATCAATCGGGATGATGTTCAGGGATATGCTGCAAAAACAGTTTTTGAGGTATAGTTTGTATTTTTTATCTCCTTCAATTCTGTTCAATTATTTTTACAAGTTTTACCATCCATCTCCATGTTTTTCAGGCTCTTCAAGCTCCTGCATGCCATGAAAACATGGTTAAAGTAGGTGGTTACATCTTGGGTGAATTTGGTAACCTAATTGCTGGTGATCAACGTTCCTCACCCCTTGTCCAGTTTCAATTGTTACATTCCAAGGTACTTTGGCAATTCTATCATCCCTACTTATTTGATTTTCCTGTTAGCTAGCCTAATGTTTGTGTCTTTTTGAATTTCTAGTATCATCTTTGCTCTCCAATGACACGAGCTCTTTTACTCTCAACTTATGTAAAATTTGTTAATCTGTTTCCTGAAATTAAACACAACATTCAAGAGGTATTTAAACAGCACAGCAACCTTCGTAGTGCTGATGCCGAACTCCAACAGAGAGCCTCAGAATATCTTCAACTCAGTGTCATTGCTTCCACTGACGTCCTTGTATGTATTGACATGATTCTTTTGGTCCATCTTGTTTTTTGGATACTCTCTTTAATTTACTTTGGTCTTTAACCAGGCAACAGTTTTGGAAGAAATGCCTGCATTCCCAGAGCGGGAGTCATCAATTCTTGCTGTGTTAAAAAAGAAAAAGCCTGGTCGTGTGCCAGAAAATGAAATTCGGGAGGGCCGTAGTCCAAATCCAGCCCCTACTGGGAACCACACTGAAGCTGTTTCTCACTCAAAACCTTCAGCAGTTTCTGCTAATGCATCTGCCGATCTTCTTGGGCTCTCCACCCCCCCTTCAAGTCAGCCAACTGCCCCAAGTAACACTGGTATGCTTGTGGATGTCTTGGGAGACATGTATGGAGGCCAACAGCAAACTCAGCAGAATAATAGCTTTGCTGCTGCACAGTCTTACAATCCCAAGAAGTAGGTGTTGTCCCTTTAAAAAAGAAATTAGTCTAATGTCTTTACTTGATTTAAAATCCTTAAGCCCTTATTAATTAAATTTAATTGCTTTCATGTGCTATTTTTATTTTCCAGGTTTGTTTGTAAAAATAATGGAGTCCTATTTGAAAATGATCTTGTTCAAATTGGAGTGAAATCTGAGTTCAGGCAAAATTTGGGCAGAATTGCTCTCTTCCATGGAAACAAGACTCCTTTCCCTCTTCAGGTGTGTAGTTTAACAGACCCATAGTTTTCACTTTCATCCCTTTTCATTAAAAAGACTGTAATTTCAACTCTGAAACATTACAAAAATTTGCAGAACTATGAAACAACCATATCAAGTCCAGGAGACCAAGCTAGTAAATTGGTTATTCAAGTTAAACCTATGGATCCTATTCTTGAGGCAGGAGCTCAGAAATTGCAGGTGTTAAATGGTGAATGTGTTGAAGATTATGTAGGTAAGTGGTTGAAATTCAAATGAGTGATGAGCAAAGCTCTGTGTCAAGATCTGGTTTTGATATCTAAATTATCAATTATCTAATCTTTGTTTTTTTTTT